CTCCTGCCAGTGTTGGGGTTACAGTGAGTTCCACCCTCTCCTGCCAGTGTTGGGGTTACAGTGAGTTCCACCCTCTCCTGCCAGTGTTGGGGTTACAGTGAGTTCCACCCTCTCCTGCCAGTGTTGGGGTTACAGTGAGTTCCACCCTCTCCTGCCAGTGTTGGGGTTACAGTGAGTTCCACCCTCTCCTGCCAGTGTTGGGGTTACAGTGAGTTCCACCCTCTCCTGCCAGTGTTGGGGTTACAGTGAGTTCCACCCTCTCCTGCCAGTGTTGGGGTTACAGTGAGTTCCACCCTCTCCTGCCAGTGTTGGGGTTACAGTGAGTTCCACCCTCTCCTGCCAGTGTTGGGGTTACAGTGAGTTCCACCCTCTCCTGCCAGTGTTGGGGTTACAGTGAGTTCCACCCTCTCCTGCCAGTGTTGGGGTTACAGTGAGTTCCACCCTCTCCTGCCAGTGTTGGGGTTACAGTGAGTTCCACCCTCTCCTGCCAGTGTTGGGGTTACAGTGAGTTCCACCCTCTCCTGCCAGTGTTGGGGTTACAGTGAGTTCCACCCTGCCCCTGCCAGGGTTGGGGTTACAGTGAGTCCCACAATGCCCCTGCCAGGGTTGGGGTTACAGGCATGCACTTCATTATTTTTTAATTCACTACTTAGGGCAAAAGTAAGATTTAATAAGCCACTCTTCTAGACTAGATCAGTATCTTATGCACAACACAAATTATAAAATAATAAAGTGAGGGATAATGGATAAAAAGAGGCCGTTTATCTAAGAGAGCAAAGAGAGGTGCATAGGAGAGTTTGGAGGGAGGAAAGCAAAGAGGGAAATGATGTAATTAAATTATAATCTCAAAAAAATTAAAAAATTTTTAAATAAAAATAATTTTAAAAAATTGAAAGGCCATGAGTTGTTTTCCATGCACTCTGTTTCCTGCTTGTAGACCGAGATGTGAGCTCTAAGCTCTTCCTCCACCAAGCCTCTGCACAGACATCATGGATTCTAACCTTCCAGAATGATAAACCCCAAATAAACCCTTCCTACTATAGTTGCTTTGTCCTGGTGTTACCACAGCAACAGAAAGTGACGAACACATTGGTATTGTTCTTAACTGCTCTGTAAGTAGAAAATAATAATAAAAACTCCCACTGGGCAGTGAGTGGCACAAGTCTTTAATCCCAGCACTCAGGAGGCAGAAACAGGTGGATCTCAGTGAGTTCAAGGCCAGCCTAGTCTACAGGGTGAGTTCCAGGACAGGCTCCAAAGCTACAGAGAAACCTTGCCTCAAAAAACCAAACAAACAAACAAAAAATTTCCCAAAAGATATTTAAAGCTCTTCAGTAAGCTTTCTGTAGTGATCTTTAGCCCTAAGACAAAGGCGAATTAATATGGTATTGTGGCTGCATCTGATAATATAATCTCTCTCATATTACTGACACTGTTCAAGATTTATCTTACTAGCCAGGTGGTGGTGGCGCACACCTTTAATCCCAGCACTCGGGAGGCAGAGGCAGGAGGATCTCTGTGAGTTCGAGGCCAGCCTGGTCTACAAAAGGAGTTCCAGGACAGGCTCCAAAGCTACAGAGAAACCCTGTCTCGAAAAACCAAAAA